CTTGGAGTAATAATAACCTCTAACATGTACTGAGCTGTTTGTTACATGTCCTGTTCCAAGCCCTTTTAATATGATAACTCACTTAATCCTGAACAGTCCTAGGAAGTAGTTGCTATTATAATCCCCATTTTATAAATGTGGGGAACTGAGGCACAACTAAACTAAGTAATTTGTCTATGATTACTCAGCTAGTGCGTGTCAAAACTAGCCAGTGGCTTGGTTTTAGTGACCACACTCTTGACCACTCGCTACACAGTGGTCCCTACCTGAGACCCTGTTTGGAGTTGTTTTCCCAGAAAAGTAGACAGGGAGTAATTAATCCCATTAGTTTGGTCAATCTAGACAACCAAGCTGGCTCACCCACCAAAAGTTCTTTTCTCTGAATATCCAAGGGATTTAATACATTTCATATACAGATTATAGTAAACAAGAATATTGAACATTGTTTTAATCCCCAAACCCTTTTGGGCTGATTTTTGAAAATAATCTTTCCCCCTTCTTCCCAAAAATATAATTACAATATTACATCATCATTCTCAAAAAGCATTCATGATAGGCTCTATATACCTCAGAGCTGGGACAATAGCAACTCTTAATATAGACACAATCTTTATTGTTAAGGACACAGACTGGACCCATCATTTTCATCACCATTAGTCTAAACAGATGCCACCTGAAGAATGTGACCTCTTTCTCTCTCTGCATGAACCCTCCCCTCACCATTCCCTCCTAGATAGAATCATGGAGTGTCAGCGGAAACATAAAAAACTTAGAAAGCATATCATCTACCCTCTGCGATTTTACAGCTGAGAACGGAGGGCCATAGGAAAAGAGACCTGCCCAAGCTTACAGCCCAGGCGCTGGCTGGCACCCAGGGCTCCTCATTCCCAGGTCTGCCCTCCTCTCCTAAACCCAACTGCCCCTCGGAGTTCATAAAGGTATTTAGACTAAGAGCACACTTAAAAAAAAGAAAAGTTCCAACAACCCTTTTTGGACCCAAGATATATAAAGAAGGGGCTGTCTTACGCCTTTCTTCCTCTCAGATGTGTTCCTGGAATGTCTTCACCAGATGTTTACCCAAGAAATTACAGTCGCAGAGTCTTCGACATGTGCCGTGCATTTTAAAAGCAGCATTTTAGACCTGAACCCAATTAATGATTTTCTTTTATATATATAAAAAAGGGGGGAAATTTTAGTTTTGCCTGCAAGTGATCCGAGTCTTTACAGAGTCTGCGTTAACATCACCCACTTTCACTCTGGGACGTGCTAGTCTCACAGTCTAGTTTTGTTCAGACTTTATTTTGCTCCAAGCTGCATTACAAGCCACTCGTCCACGCTGCAGAAGGTGGGGGTAGGGAGCTGGGGGGACGGCTCTTCTCCCCGCCCCCCCTTCATATACGTGAAGCAATTTGGAATCATTCCACTTGGCGCTCTCTCTCTCTCTCTCTCTCTCTCTCTCACACACACACACACACACACACACACGTGTACCATGCATGTGCGGGGCGCCTACAGATCTGTGTACAGGCGCGTTTGTGATTTAAAGTGACAGGACCCAGAGCTGGACTGAAGAAGTGAGTTATTTTGCGTGATAAATCAACGTGGTTGTCTCCACACTGTACTTCCATTATTCATCTTTCTTTGGAGGGAGGAGCCGAGCTGGTGGCGCAGGAAGGGAGATGTACCTTTTCTGTTTTATTTTCCTTTTATGCTCTTTTAAAAAAGAAAGAAAGAAAATGGCTACCACCGCTTCCAGAGCACCGGGGAGGCCAGACCTTTGCAGATAGGGAGATGATGCTTTAAATCTTTCTTCCCTCCATCCCTCCCCCTCCCCTCCCCTCCTCCTGGCAGCCCTGCGACAGCCAAGGGAGAAAATGGCCAGAGGCACTTGTGTGGGTCATTTGTCCTCACTCTCGGTTTTTCCTTCGGACAAATAGCCACCAGTTTTCTTTTTCTTTACAAACTGGTCCTTTTTATCTGCTGTCATATTTTTAATAAACTATGTCCGGAACACGTTTGGCTTGTCTTTTGCTTGAACACCTAGCTAAGCAGCGATGGGCAGGCAGCGGGGCGTCGGGGAGGGGGCAGCCTCGCTACCAGATCGGTAGGGATCACCTGGGGCAGACACAGCCCAGTGGTTACAGACACTTTTTTTTAAGGGACCCGGGTAATTAACAAATTAATTACCAGATGTGTATTGATGCCTGCGAATTCTAAAAAAGCACAACCAGAATTCCACTTTCACGTATTAATGATGGAATTGCTGTTCCCTATAGCTCGGCATATGGACCTTACCAGACTGATCATTTACATTTAAAAAAGGAATTCCAAAGACCCGGGAGACTGCTTTGGTGTTCACTTTGCAAGGGGGTGGGAAGCCCTTTCCATTCATAAAGGTGGCATTGACATATTTATTCTGGATTTGTACTTCTCCAGAAGCTGCCTCCAAAGCTATAGTCACATTGGGGAGATAATTGCGGTGTCAGTGTGTGAGTAATGACATAGTGTTGCATAATAATAATTTAAGCAACTGTGTCTTTGTTTACAGTGATGTAACTTTCCCAAAGTTTGTTTGTAGCTTTAAAGAGTTTAAGAGCAGAGCTGATTGCAAATGAGTAACTGCCCAGAGGAAAGTGAGCAGGATTCAACGCTCTGGCTTGGACTCCCTGCTCCCATCTGTATCTGTAATCCCAACCTGTAGATACCAGGGGCGGGGTGGAAAACGACCCCATTTTCCTTAGAGAGATTGGGAAGGAAGAGGCCGAGCTGATGACTTGACAACCTGATAAAGTCTGCCTGAATTGTTAGTAATATGAAATAATACTTCTGTCCAAGGCAAATCAAAAAGCCAGATGCAGCAGTGCAGTGAAAATCCAGCTCAGTTCAATGTGCACATATAACATGGTTGAAATGCAGCTTTTTAATGAGTGTGTCTCAAGTAGTAAAAATGAGTGCAAATAAATTCAAAACTAATCACTTCAGTTGTTCCAACATTTAAGACATACTAAGTTGGGCATGCATTTGGGCTGTTGTTTCACAGCCCATGATGTGTAGACAGTGCACAATTTCCATGTTATAATGGCTTGGAGATAGAGGGGTATTTTGATTTGGTCATTAGAGTAGAGACAAATGAGAGCAGGTTAATATCTCGGTCCACAGAAACACGGCCTACCAACTCTGGGGAAGCCCACACTCTCCCAGGCAGCAAAACCTCCACTGTCCTTTATTCATAAAGACCCAGATTCCAAGGTCTTAGAGTTGGGCATGAATCTTATTTATAACTATAAAAAGTAATACACCAAAATGTACTGATTTACTTATGAATGTATGAAAACTAACAAATAAAGAAGTCTTTGTTGGGCATTAGGCAGGGCTCGAAACTTGGAAAACACTCCTCTAAAGTTTACCTGAATTAATACTTCTCGGGATATCTTCTGTGTAACCATGATTTGTCATTTATAGAGACTCAATTCAGGCAGGAGAGTTAGCTTTTTAAAACTTTTGTGGTATCAAAGTTTTTCTTAAGGGGAAAAATATCAAATGAGGCTTTCTTATTATAGGAAAAGTTTAGTGAAAGTCTTAATGTGTTATGCTTTAACTAAAGTGAACTAAAGTATCTAAATACTATAAACATTAATTACGATGTTTTCTCAATTAATCATGTTTTTATTTTTTTAAGTAACATAGAGTAGGGTAGTAAAAAACTTCAGATTTTCTCATATTGGAATTGTCCTATCAGTAAAGTGTTTGTAGGATTGCATTAAATTTTCATATCACAAATTGTGAAACAGGGTTGTTGTTTTTTTTACTTCGAAGTTAATTCAATTATTTTATCTACAGTCCATGGAAGTCTATTACTATTGCACCTGGTAAACTCATTAAGATCAATAATATGTAATATTATACAACACAATTTTTGAAAATTAAAGCAAATACCTTGAACACATGGAAAGAATGGAGTGATCAAGATATAATGTCAAAACAATACAGACACTTGTCACACTATGGGTTTGAGTCATTACTGACATTCAATTTTACAAAAGCAAAAAAAGAAAAGGAAGGATGAGTTTTATAAGCTCTTCAGTGCTTTTCCAATTAAGAACATTTAGCTTGGGAAACAACAGGTGTTTGTATCACTGTTATTATCTACCCAGAAAACCTCTCTTCTGGTCACGCTACCAAAAAAAAAATATTCAAATACTATTTTAAATAGCACCTGATATACATTGATATTACAATGAGTCAAATATCTGTAACATAAAATTCAATTGTCTTGTCAAATTTTGACTTTGAGAAACTAAATTGGACACTAATGGCTATATTTTTAACATGTTATAAAGCAAATATCATACATATCCTATTTTCAGAATTTACTCAAATATTATGCTGTCATCAGAATGCAGGATTTACTGCAAACTGATGCTCAAATAGAGACTTTCACAATATAGTCCTAATATAAGGCATCGGATTTGGAGGGAGAGCAGTGAGGTAGGATGCACCTCGTTGTTTGATACAACTTTATGTGTCATATGTTTTTACTGACTTGGAGAAGGCTATTCTGCTCTGGCCTTCTGGCAAATAAGGTAACCCAGGCTTGTCTAGAGTCACTTGTCTCTTTGACGGCCAGATCACCACTTATTTGTCCCGCATTCCCAGGCCTCATGTAGTGCCGGCTACAGCAGCATTCAGTAAATGTCTTCCAGACTTAAACTTATTTGATAGTTCCACTTTTTTCTTAATTTTTGATAGTGAGTATAAATTTTGGAAGTGGATAGGGCTAGTAGAAATACTTTGGCAGAAAACCAGTTGGGAGATTTTTGTTTCTATATGCTATCTCATGACAAATTAAAATATTTGTGATTTATTGTCAACTTTATAGCCCTTGGGAGGACTAGCAAACTAATAGGAATAATGTTAAAACCAGAAACACCATTCTTTGGCTGCTTCCTTGAAAAAGCACTTTTTTTTTTAATATACCAAAAGCATACCAAGTACCTTACAAACTTTACATTTTCAGCTCTCCGCCTGGCTCCGCTTGCAACAAACTGGCCATTTCAAGCATCTTTGCCAAACCGAAGCACTCTTTATAATTGGTTCTCCTTGCTCTCATTTCAGTTTTCTTTCCTTGGTAAACAAAAGTGAAAACTATGCCAAACTGCCAACATTTATTGAAGGTTAAATGCCTTTATTTTTCCCAGCATTATTTTACTGAATATGGCATTAGTTACTGAATGATCTTAATATCTACAATAACCCAAGGCATTTTTCTTGCATATTAAAACAGAGCATTTTTTCAAACAACTTGTTTCTGCGTTCATGTGATCTAAGATAGAAACCAGCTTCTTTTCTTCACCCATGAAAGGGATCAAGCAGTGTTTTCATAGGTACCCAATCTGCTGATGTAACACAGCTCATAGCTTTCATGGTAAAAAAAAAAAAAAAGTATATAACAAAGGAAAGCAGCATCATTGTTTTTTATGATTTTTACAATATTACATTATTTAAATAAAAACATTATATAAAGTCAGAACTAGACTATTTGTATCCCAATTATGGAAAAAGTCCACTTAATCAAATATGAACCTTCTTAAGTTTTCTTATAGAATATAAGGTATCAAATTAATATGTGCTATTTAATTTTAACATTGCAGATAAAGAGATAATCTCCTGTTGGAACTTTTAAAAATTGCTCTAATGTCAATATTAATTGGCAAAGTAATGACTTGAAAACATTAGTATACCACCAACCATGGTGAGTGGTTTTCACAACTCAGGGAAAATGGTGGTTGAATATTTTTTATTGTAAGGAGAAGTGTTGTACAGTATTATTTGCCAAGGTGAAATAAATTTGATCTAAATGTCTTTTGCTCTAGGTTAGGCTCTGGGACATGTTGACTAAGTTTACCACTTTCAAAGCAAAAGGAAAAACTGAGATAATGGAGTAGGAAAAGGATAGGCTCCTTGTTGTGAACCCCTACAATCTATTTTTTACACTGTGGTCAGAGTGCTTTTTCTGAACAAAAACTGATGTTGTTGCCACCTTCTTTAAGCCCCTTCAATGGCTCCGCATTAATGTCAGGATAAAGTCTAAAATCTTTAAAGTTGGTCACTAGGCCCAGAGTGCTCTGACCTATATTTACCACTTCAGCGTGGCCTTGGCACCTGCTCTCCCACTAGCTTGCAGTTCATTTTATTTCTTCTTTCAACTGCCACCCTAGTCTTCCTCTTCCCTATCTCTCCCCTGGCCCTGATAACTCCTATTAATCTTTGAGTAAAACCTGTTCTGACATTCAAAAAACATTTCCAAAACAAATGGATGAACCCATAAACCAAAGAAAATATGCAGAATTATAGATGTTTAGAATTTTAAAAGATCTTGAACATCATTTTTCAGATGAGGAATCTTACAATGGTTCTGATGATCAGGTGACTTCAAAGATCATACAATTAATAGGAAAGCTGAGTCTAGAATCCAAGATTCCTGATATTTGTGAAATTAACTCTGTAAGTGAAATAAGTCCTTAAAGAATTTGTTCAATTTTTTTCTCCAAAGATAAATTAAGGTTGCTACTTATACCTCAAAAAATTACAAATAGAATTACCATATGATTCAACATTTCCACTTCTGAATATGTACCCAAAAGCATTGAAAGCAGGGGCTCAAATAGATATTTATACACTATATTCATAGTAGCATTATTCATAATAGTAAAAACGTGAAAGCAACCCAAGTTTTCATCAATGGATGAATGGGCTAAACAAAAAGTGGCATATACATACAATGGAATACTATTCAGCCTGAAACATGGAAATTCTGGCACATGCTACAACATGCATGAATCTGAAGACATCATGCTACGCAAAATAAGCCACTCACAGAAGGACAAATACTGAATGAATGCTGAATCTAAGGTACCTAGAGAAGTCAAATCCAGAGAGACAGAAAGCAAAATGAGTTCTAGGGCCTGTGAGAGAAAGAAATGGGAAGTTATTATTTAACGTTTACAAAGTTTCAGTGTGGGATGATGAAAAATTCTGGGGATTGATTATGATGATAGTTGCACAACAACGTGAATACATGTAATGCCACTGAACTGTATATTTAATAATGGTTAAAACGGTAAATATTATGTTATGTACATTTTATCTCAATAAAACAAAACTGCTGTTTCCCTAAGGGACCTACCAGTAGAGTATCAGATCACGCCCTGTCTCCCTACCCTGACCCACACACCATTCTTTTTTTCTGTAATGTTTTTGGTTGACTCATAATCCTGCTTCTTAGCCTATTAACTGGGCTTTGAGCCAAGCTACCCACTTGTTACTGCTTGTGTATCCAACACAACAACAACTCTAACTCTACAACTTCCTTGCGGGACTGCCCTTTGCTGACCCCATTTTGAGTCACCTTATGAAAGAGAGAGGTCAAGAGAGACTGGAGTGCTAAAGGATAGGGGTGGAAAAGAGAGTCTGAAGTCTGAGTGTCCATGCCAAAGAAGTTTCCCAGTTCCCATTTCCTGTCTCTCCAGACTACTTTTTGGAGGGTGGAATGTGATCTTAGAGTGAGTGTGAAAAAAAAACACCACCACCAGGATCAGAGGTGTCAACCTCAACTAGTTCTCTCTTTTTTGCTGATTTTCTGTGCCTATAGACACTGATATCAAGCTAGGTACATTCTAATTTAGCAGTATCAGGAGCACTTCGTATCACTAGCCCCAGGCACGCAAGCTGAAGTTGAGGAATTTCTAAAATAGTCCTTTAATAAGATGCCATCCTTCCCATTCCCTCTATCCTTACGGCGGTTGAAATCTCACTCAGGGAAGCTTAGTAAAGACTGTCCTCTTCACAACCCTGGTCTGTGTGTATGTATGGCAGTGATGGGGATGATGGTGGTGGGAGGTTATGTGCTAAATTTTTTGAGACCTCATAATGTCTGTGTTGCTTTTGAACAAACAACCCTTCTTGAATTTGAATGTTATAATCATATAAATACTGTGTATTTTATAAGTTTTTACCTTTTCTTTTTAAAATTAATTGCTAAGTAACTCAAAGTCAAATTATAAGTTAACCCAAAAGAGTACACAGGATTTCATTGTATGTATTTTGGATACTAATCTTGGCCTTGACTTTATCTTATATATATCTTAATAGTGTCCTTTAAATAGAAAGATAGATATAGATATTTAGTTAATTAATTATCCTATATAATAAAAGCCTAATATGCTAGGTGTCTAAACGACTGTTTGACTGCTTGACTAATCGCTATGATGCACACTGACCACCAGGAGGCAGACGCTCCAACCAGTAGATTAACTTGCTGCTGGGGACCAGCCGATGGGGACTGGGCGAGTTGGGCAGGACATGCCCTGGAGCCCTCCCCAGCCCAACTGTACACCAGTGGGGTCCCTCGGCCTGGCCTGCACCCTCTTGCAATCCAGGACCCTCAGGGGATGTCAGAGAGCCAGTTTCAGCCCGATCCCCATAGGCCAGGCCGAGGGACCCCACCGGTGCACAAGTCCATGCACTGGGCCTCTAGTATATTATATTTATGCTGCCTCTATTCCAAAATGTCTTGGAATGGAGATATGTAGATATGTGTGTTTGTGTGTGTGTGTGTGTGTGTACATATAGAGGTAGGTAGGTAGATAGATAGATAGATAGATAGATAGACATCTCCACTCCAAAACCTTTTTGAATAGAAGCAGGATAAATATGACGAACTAAGTATCCATATTCTGTATTCTGTGCTGTATTGTAAACAAGTATTGGTATAGGCCCGTGGTCGGCAAACCGTGGCTCGCAAGCCACATGCGGCTCTTTGGCCACTTCAGTGTGGCTCTTCCACAAAATACCACGTGCGGGCGCACATGTACAGTGCGATTGAAACTTCGTGGCCCATGCACAGAAGTCAGTATTTTGTGGAAGAGCCAGTATTTTGTGGAAGAGCCACACTGAAGGGGCCAAAGAGCCGCATGTGGCTCGTGAGCCGCAGTTTGCCGACCACTGGTATAGGCCTTTGTAGAATAAAAACCTAAATTTTTTTTACATTTCATATTCATTATTTCATTGAGTTCTTGAAAAACCTCAAGAAGTAAGCAGGACTAGTGATATTTACATTTCACAGAGAAGGAAGCTAGAGAAAGCAATTGCACTGCCCAAGGCCACAAACAGCAAAGAATAAAGAATCCCATCAGCTCACAGCTATTAACACCAAGTTACAGTTCTAGACTGTTGCTCTCACCCCACCCTAGTTTATTTTTCCTGAAAACTATCCTTTAACTGTGAACACGTTTGAGTAAATCTTTCAGGTATCAGCCTAGATTTTAGAGCCCTTCCTTCAGTTTAGCTAGTTGACTGTTTTCTTTCTCCTATCAGATTCACTCACAGTATTTCTTCACTTTCCCAGGCCTCTTTTCAACTTTGATACCAGAGATAGTTATTCACTCCTTTCCCATTCCTGCAAAATAGTCTTTGCATGATGTAATGAAACTCGCACGGGAACTGGGGATTAATTCTTAACCAGCTGTGTGGCCATGCTAGCCACTTCACTCTGCTGGCTTCAGTTTTATCATCTGTAAAGTCTGGTGGACAGAGACTTCTGAGCTCCCTTTCAGCTCTCCTTCTGTGAATTGTAAGCTTCAGACTTGGCTACTTTCGCTTTAGCCAAGATACAGATTTCCTTTCTTTGGTCATCCTAGCAGCTCAGTTGTGTGATAGCATCTGTGGTCTTCAGGAACTTCTGCAGTTTGCTGTGTGTCCAAGATGGGGAGGATGGGTCTGAAGTTGGGGGAAATGGGGAGTTGTTCTTCAGTGGTGTAAAGTGTCAGCGATGCTAGATGAATGAATACATTCTAGAACTTTGCTGTACAACCTAGTGCCTAGAGTTGGCAATACAGTATTGTGCCCTTCAAGATTTGGTAAGAGGGCAGATCTCATGTTAAATGTTCTTACCACAGAAGAAAGCCTGGGGGGGGTGGGAGGGGAGGTCACAGGGAAACTCTGACAGGTGTTGGATATGTCTATGACCTTGATTGTGGTGATGGGACCATGAGTATTTTTATATGTCCAAACTCATAAAATTGTATACATTAAACACGGGCAGTTCTTTGTATGTCAATTATACCTCGATAAAGCTGTTTGTTTGTTTGTTTTTTAATGATAGGCCCATGTATTTACCTTTATGTATAGAGCTAGCTAACCATTAAAATGGTACTTAAAAAGTGTGAAGCCTGAATTCTTTCCTAAACTAGACATCATAGTCAGAGCTTTGGATATTTCAGTTTCCTGAGCCTTCGTTTCTACATTTGTGTGGTGAGGATGACAATTCCTGATGTGCCACTTCAGAAGGAAGGAAGGTTAAAGGGGATACGGTGTGGGTAAGCTCTGTGAAAAGCAAACTCAATGTCCTATTTACACTGAAAATTTCCACCCACTGATAATGCCATGTTTTGCATAAGTCACACTCCTCACCCTGTATTTCATCAGAGTACAAGGCTGGAAAATGGACCATTTGTTCATCTATCCATTCACACATTAACTTACCAAACATTTGTGAAGGATCTGCTATAGCATTTTGTTTATAGGAATAAAAGAATGAATGGAGTCATTGCACTTTCAAGGAGCTCAGAGTCTAATAGACAAACATGCAAATAAGTAACTGATAGATAATGTGAAGAAATCTGTTGTAGAGATGAGTAAAAGATGTTAGAGATTAACCAATTCTACCTAGGCGGGGAGGAATTGACCAGTTCTTTCTAGGGGGAGGGACTGACCAATTCTACCTAGGGGAATTGGGAAGTAGCATTAAACTGGCTCTTGGGGAGAAAAAAAAATGAATGGAACAGGGAGAAAACTTTAGGAACTTGGGAGCAGAAGAAATCACACAAACAAGGGAAGAGAGGCATGAACATGCATTGTGTGTTCAGAAAATGATGTGAAGAGAAAAAATGATTTATAGTGTGGCTGGGAAGAGGGGGTAGCAGAGAGAAATTAGGCGGGAGGAAAGTCCGGAAAAGAAGGCTGACAATAAAATCAAATGTATTCTATAGCAAGTTGGGGGGGAAAATATATGACTTTAGACAAAGAAAAATCCAAAGGTACCATGAGATTGTTTTATAATGTTGATTATTAGTTACAGTAGAGGCTAGGCTGCTATATCAGAGACCTAAACACATAGTAGCTTAAATAAAATCAAGGCTGGAGAAGTAGCTCTGCTCCATGAGGTCATTTAGCGACCCAGGTTTCTCCCATGTTGCTACTTTCTTTCCTCCTAGGGCAGTGGTTCTCAACCTTCTGGCCCTTTAAATACAGCTCCTCATGTTGTGACCCAACCATAACATTATTTTCGTTGCTCCTTCATAACTGTAATGTTGCTACTGTTATGAATTGTAATGTAAATATCTGATAGGCAGGATGGTCTTAGGCGACCCCTGTGAAAGGGTCGTTCGACCGCCAAAGGGGTCTCGACCCACAGGTTGAGAACCGCTGTCCTAGGGTATTATCCTAGTCTTTGTAATTAAAATTAGGTCTCTCGCATGGCTTCATTGCAGCCTTCAAAAAGGCCACACGTATATGACAAATTTCTTTTAAACAAGTGACACGGACGTTGGACTAAACTCTGCTAGCACTCTACTGAGTGCTGAATCATGTGTTGTGCCTTTCTGTAAGGCAGGCTGGGAAATAGGGCTCTATACTCTTCATCTATGTATCCAAAAACAGAGAGAGAATGCATCTGAGGGGACAATAGTCCGCCACAACTTGCTTATTTGGCAACCTCATCAATTCCTAGATTTAAATTGGCTTCTATTATTTATCCTTTATATGGCCATGTTGTCCTCTAAATGCCCATCTTGATTACGTAGCCTAAAAAGTGCTTTGGATGATCTAGGATTTACCCAGGCAAATCTGTGTTCAATATTCAGCTTAGTTCACAAATTGAAAATTAAGAATTATCAGAAAAAAATATTGCAATTTTGAATTATATTCCTAATTCTGTAAGACTCTGATACTCTAGTCCAGGGGTGGGCAAACTTTTTGACTCGAGGGCCACAATGGGTTCTTAAACTGGACCGGAGGGCCGGAACGAAAACATGGATGGAGTGTTTGTGTGAACTAATATAAATTCAAAGTAAACATCATTACATAAAAGGGTACGGTCTTTTTTTTTTTTTTTTTAGTTTTATTCATTTCAAACGGGCTGGATCCGGCCCGCGGGCTGTAGTTTGCCCACGGCTGCTCTAGTCTCTGTACCAATGATCTGCAAGACAATTAAAGTTTGTATTTGGGTCAAAAGAGCCTACTATTTTCAAGGCATAAAGCCAGCCTACCTGCAAACATGAGGCTCTCAGTGGGGTTAGCAACCCAAAGTCACCCTATTAGATGCGTGCCTGATTTTCAGAGGCATGATGGGAAGTTACTGGAATACAAATTCATGGGGTGGGACGAGCCTACCATATATAAAGACTCAATCTATGTGAGCTATTGCTACTATTACTGGTATTATTTTAAAATTAGTTTTAAGGATATAGAAGTGACAATTTGTGGGGTAAGGAGAGACTCTTTCACTAACAGGTCTCGTTATACATTTTGTGGGCATTTGGACTTTGAGAAGAGCCTGGAAAAACTGCACTCCTAAATTGTCTCTGTTGATCAAAACCCTGGAAATTAATGTGTATGGTGGGTCTCCCTTGCTTTCTCAAATCTCTCCCACCTGCTATTCTTCCCTCCCTTTCTCTCTCTTGCTCATTCATTCCTGCTGTGCTGTTCAGGACTTCACCTTTTCTCACTTCTTTCTAACCAGTCTTGTTGCCTCCATTGCTAGAATAATCTTTCTAATTTGCAAATCTTACTTTGTCTATATTTTGATTAAATACATTTGATGTCTCCCCAGTTTCTCAAGTGAAAGTTTAAATGGCTCACAAGGTTCTCCACCATCTTGCCTCAGCCTGCCTTTTTCACTTCATTTCTAGTTACTGCAATGCAAGCTAATACTAGCTAGAACAACTAGCCACAACCAATTACTACCCCATTCTCTGGCCCACTGCATACAGTGGCATTACTGTGCCTTCCTGGGCAGGAATGCCCTGTCCCTACCTTGTCCACCGGACAAATGCATACTTCTGACCCAACACAAATGTCATTTCCTCTTTGTTAGCCTTCTGTTACTCTATCTATACATCCAGGCAAAATCAATCATTCTATCATCTATATTCCTATTGCCATTTAGGTATATCTAAGTTGGATATAGCACTTATCACATTACATTATTATTTACCTTTGTCTTGTCTCCCCCATTGGACTGAAAGTTTCTTGGAGTCAGAGATAATATCTTATTGTCTGTATCCCCAGCTTCTAGCACATTCAATGTGGTACATGGTACATATTAAACAGTAATATTATTATTATTATTATTATTATTATAGCTATTGTATATTGAATATACATAGTATGCTAGGCAAATTACATATGTTATCTGACTATCTCCCATTTCCTAGATGAGAAATCTAAAGCTGTATTACAGAGGTTAAATAAATAGTAGGCCCAACATTAATACCTAAGTTGGACTCCAAAGATTATACTGTTTTGCTGTGGACTAGATGGAGATATAAAAGGTCACTTAGGAAATAAGTGCCAACCTACCACATTAAACGGAGTTAATGAACTACAGACAAAGCAGAGAAAACTCACTGTTACCACCTACTGACAAGGCCTGGCTTGCTTAGCATTGGGGCTTATTCAGACCATGGCATCTACAGAGCAATGCGACACAAGTTGATATTTCTTGTGCTTTTCAAAGGCTCTTTGCTCGTAACAAAACAGTCCTCTAGTGTCACGATAGGTCCATGTTCTACTTTGCAGGTGTTATGTAACCATCTCAAGGTCACACAGCCTATCACCAGCTGAACTAAGCCTAGAACTTTTTTGGTTGCTTGAAAAAATTCTTTTTCTTTTTATTTAAGCCACTACATTCCATCAAGTGTTATTTCTAGGGTAAAAGTAATATAACAAGTGGAAATAGATGGTCAGTGGAGAAGGCCAGGATTAAACGCCACAGACTTTCTAGAACAAGACAATATCAGAATCTATAATGGGTAGACCAGAACAGCAAAGCTTATCTAAGACCTAGGGCAGCCACAGTACCCTACCTCCCAGTAATGCTGCATCCTTTAGCTAGTGGTAAAGTGCAAGCTTAAAGCCAAAAATGTGGTTCAATATAAAATAGGAGGTTTCTCTAACCTCTAATTTAACTGTACAAGGTCCTGTTATTAATTAATTAGGTACTTCTACCAAGGACAGTTAAGCAAATCAGACAACTGCCAGGTTGCATCCTATTCCTCTTGACTCGCATTTGGACAATTTTTTTTTATCAAGTGAGCTAAGCACACATTTTCCTATAACTCAGTTATTCAGCAAAACGTCCTAAAGTACTTAACACATTAAAAAAAAACAAAAAACCACACACCAAAAAACAAACGCAATAGCCTGCCTGTGATGCTCTCCATTTAAAGGGGCACCTCTTCTCTTTAGAGCTGCCCCTCTCCCCGCCCGCCCCCCGCCCCGCCCACACACACTGTGCTGGTAACTAGTTTCTTATTTAAAACAAACAAATAATTGAAATATCCAGATCACATGGTCTTATGGAGCCTGGGTTAATGAAATAAAATGAATCAGTAAGATGAAGGACTTAATGTTCCAATAACTATCTTATAAAAAAAACCCAACCTTTTAAATATTAGAGCCTTTCTTTAGGCGGATGGGAGGTTGAGGGGTGTGTTAACTTTTGTGGAACACAGGTTTTGTAAGCATATTGGCCAATTAGATGTTTGCTTTAAAGGAACAGCTTTTTCTTGAGGGAGCCCACCTAACAATTTCATGTTCACTCATTTGCAGAGAAGAGAGCCAATGTTTTTTCCTCTGTGAACCTGGGGTAGAAGCTTTATTTCACTCTAAGTTCTCTGTGACGTTTTGCACTCTCTTGATTTAATGAACCAAAGAGGATCTTTAACTCTTGGTCTACACCAGTGCAAATAAAGGTTAAATCTCTCACTGACCATCATGAACTAGCCTAATAACTCACGAGAGGCTATGGGAAGAGAAACTGAAAAGGCAGGTGTACTGACTTGATTAAAACGTTCAAAATCCGTACAACCGCAGGCAAAGGTACTATATCCTTACACCTCCCTAGCACCGCGAGGTCCGCAAGCAAAGGAACTTCAATGCGCCAAAAACAGGATCCCCGCCAGCAGGGCCTAGTAACACAGGAGCTTTTCTGCCGAACAGTGACCGGCCGGAGCTTGCGCTGAATACCGGGGCTCCTATTGGCCACACGCCGTGGGGGAGGAGGAGACTGGCGGGGAGAGAGACAGGAGGAGGGGAGAAGGGGGCAAGGCCTTTTCCCTGCCCCCTCCCTGTCCCCTCCATAGGCTGCCGCGGGCGCCTAGTGCGTGGTTACTATGCAAATTGCAGCGATTGCGGAAATAAACAAGGGCGTAGGGAGAGAAGAGAGAGACTGCGAATCGATTGCAACTTCTGCAAAGTCTCGTATAATCCAAAGCACACACGGCAAAAGCAGAGAGAATCTGAGAACCAGCCAGCCCGGGTTGGATCGCTTTCAAAAGAGGAGAGAGAGACAGTGAGAGAGGCAGAGAGCGCACATTGCAATTGCAAACGCCTTCTGATTTGGAGTAAAAAAAAAAAAAAAAAATCCAAGAAGCCTGCAATTGGCCAACAGCTTTAAAAAAAAACCTCTTCCGGGTTTTCAACGGTTCCAAGTTTATTTAGATTTTTTTTTAATGCAAAAAAAGGGGGACAACAAATGAAGCAATTCGTCTGAACATTTTAAAGTTTCTCACGTACTCTTTTTACATTGCAATGGTACGTGGTACATCTTAAACTTTCTATTTTGCGTTTATACGGATATGCGTTTTATAAGAACAATAACGGTAGAATGATTTTGTTTAATGGCTAAGACTAAAATTTCTCTAGCTTGCATATGCATTTAAGTGATTGCTGGGTAATGTCTATTGTGATGGTTTTGTTTTAAAGATGTAGCTTTGTGGATGGCTTTTTTGCTATGTGCATCTGAGACTGGGTTTCCTTTTTTTCCCCTGAGATTTGAAAAAATTGCTGAGCTTGACAGATTTTTTTTTCCTCCTAGCGCTTGCTCCGTTCCAGAAACATGGGGGGTGGGAGGGGGGAATCCTGTACGTGCTGCTCTGTTCTGTAAAAAGACGTCTGGCCTCAGCAGTCAACCTAACCCGAAAAGAAATGTCTGGACCCGGAGAATAATTGACGATTCCATCCTCTAATCAATGGGACAATAGGGGAGATTGACAAAAGCTTTATCCAATCATGAGAAAGCTTGGGTGTACAATGGTTCGCAATTGCCAGAGGGGGCGGGGCAGAGATCTGAAGTTCTCTGCGGCTCTGAAAGGGATGGTGTGGTTCAAGCTGTCAAAAGCTACAAGCTCTTCCGGATTTTAGCAAGCACAATAGGAAAGAGTTTTCGAGTTTAAGAAAAAAAAAAACCACGGATGGGGGATTTTTGCATGAATCTTATGCTTTCTTCACTGTCTTTTTGGAAAAGTTAGAAAATTTCTGCTAGAGAAATGTTTAACTTTGCACGGATTATTATTTTTAAATTTGGAAAGTTGTTAACTGTCCTGGAAGGTGAGGTTCAACTTTTAAAAATGTGTGACTTAAAAACTTCCCTAAATTATGGGACTGTAGTGAGCTTTGGGAAGTAGTATATTGCATATTCAGCATTACAAAACTTCTCGCCCTGATTATCTTAGAAGCTTTGGCTTTTCCAGTACTTTGGAGGAGTAGGCAAGCCTCCCTTTTTGAAACTCTAAACAAGTTTTAAGCATGAGAGAATGTTTCGCAGGTGGACTGACAGCTGTTTTTTACATTTGAAAGGAAGAGGGAGAGAAAGTAGTTTTTCTTGACTTCTTTTGAATTCTGCTGTTTAAATATATGGTCAGTAGCAAATAGTATATTATGACTGGCCAAATTCACATTTCTTCTTGTTACTACAACAACCCCTGTGGAGGGTATGTGTGGAAAGTTGCTGACTGGCTAACTCTTAGCTGGAATCTGGCCTCTTGGACAAGTCTTTGACACCAATCCAGTGGAAACCTACTGCAGTAGCTTATCTTGGAGACAGTAACTGGCAGCCTCTGGCTAAAATATATCCATCTCTTCCTTCCCTCTGAGCAGAGTAGACACTTAATTCTGTTGAGGAGTGAGTAGAAAATAATATGGGCTCTTTCCCATCTTTGTATTATATCCCATGGAGCTATTTCCCAAGGCTTTAGGCCTTCTCATCAACTCCAGTTTGGAAATTTGATGTAAGAATCCACTTGCATGCTCAGTTCAACAACATGATTCAATTTAGGAATACAAGCATAGAAGAAAAATCTGCACACCAGTGACCAGCAGGTCAAAAAACTAGAGAAGAAAAACGTTGAAAAATGCTAGTGATAAAGTTAGCCTCGGTAAGAACTACAGTTAATGGTGTTGTCACTTATGAACCCCAATTTTACCTTTACTGCTTTGGGCATTAAAATCTAAATCATATTAATAAGATCTTCCTATTAAGTGACCTCTAAAACAAGAGGTATTTGAGATGTACATATAAGTGAAACCTTATTGACGTAATTTATATATCTAAGAGGATTTCACTAAAACTGGCAAGGTAACATTTCTGCAAATAAAACACAGTAAATGCAAGGCTGGGCTCTGTGCCAGGAAGAATATGGATAGCCAAGAGCATGACAGGAGCCTCTTTTGCGCGGAGACAACCCCATTTCAAGGCAGCCTCCCAGCACTTGCAAAATAAATGATTGGAGCGGTTATTTCCAATAAGGGGTTTATCCTTCCTAACAATAGGGCATTTATATGATTGCAGTAAACTAGTTTTCCTCCTTCACCTGTGTTTCCTATACTGTTTTCTATGTCTTCCCTCTTCGTTCTTCCCTCCACCCCTGTTCGCTCTCTCAAGTGTCTTAGCATCTTTGTGAACTCTGGACAAGGATTTACTTTTGCAACTTGGGAAGAGGGGAGAGAGTTGGAAATGTTTTTTACCCCCAGACTGCCCTTTGAGAAACATCTGTTTCTTTGTGTGTGTATTTAAATTTATGCCTGTTGGAGAGAAAGTTACCAGAAGCCTTTTTGTAACTGTAACTCTTCTACTGTATTTTTCTCAGTCGTGTTTCCAAAGACTGTAGTTGGAACTGTACTTTGTAGTGTTTCCCCCGCCTCCCCCCTCCCTCCCCCCACCCTCCCGCGGGGGGGGGAGTGGGAGCTGGCGGAGATAGAGAGAAAGCCTGTTTCTTTGTGTGTGTATTTAAATTTATGCCTGTTGGAGAGAAAGTTACCAGAAGCCTTTTTGTAACTGTAACTCTTCTACTGTATTTTTCTCAGTCGTGTTTCCAAAGACTGTAGTTGGAACTGTACTTTGTAGTGTTTCCCCCGCCTCCCCCCTCCCTCCCCCCATCCTCCCGCGGGGGAGGGAGTGGGAGCTGGCGGAGATAGGAGAGAAAGCAGGAGCGGATGTGAAGGGCTTTGGTGCTGAACTTGGATCCAGCCCTTGCCTAGAGGGCGCAAACAATCGTCCCATATCCAAAAGTCTTACGAAGGGCGCCAAAAGTTACTTAAGATAATATTGCTAACCACAGAAAGCTGGAAATCGCGGGCACATCCACTGCTGCAACAAAAGAAGTTTTTAAAGTAGAAATATCAGCATTAAATTACTTTTCTCCATTCTTTTTCAACTAGGGCGACGTGCCAGTTCTTTTTTTCTTTTCTTTCTTTTTTTTTGGAGATTCAATTAAAAGTAAGAATCTTTGGTATTTTGGAAGGAGGCAGATGTGAAGTCTATCTTTTAATACACCAAAAGGAAGATTTTAATCTGCTCTGGAAGACAGCTTCCCAAGAGTACATACTTGAACAATAACTTCTCACTGTGCCTCAGTTACATGTTGGGACTGTCAGCCAGAAACGTCTATCGAGGAAACTTGGAGCGCCTTGAAGTTATAGATCCCAGCAAAGGTTTTGTGGCCAGGGATTTTGTCTCTGTAACTCGGCTTAGCTTTTAGGACATTTTCCCCTGCAGAAATCCAAGAGGAACTAAGGAAAAGCGGTTGTTTAGTTTGGAAAAATGGGACTCTCTTATTAAAGGTTTAAGCCATTCTTTCCCCTCACCTCTTAATAAATAATCTGAAAGATGTCCAAGAATATTTAGAATCGGGGAGTGTGACAATGGTCTCTTGACCATTCAGGATTTATTTTAGCAATAAACTAACTGGAGAACAAGCATAAAATAATTTAGACAAATGCAGAATATTTCCCCTGTACCAATCTTGCTGCCCCTTCATTTAAAAAGGGGGGAGGAGGCTGCATGAGAATGGCCTTTAACACCTCCCCTGACCCTCACCTGCAGAGTGGGCATTCCTACAGGGAATTTCCTCTTTTCAGAGGCTAAGCTCTATAACTTCTACCAAGGTGTAGAGTCCCCTGTCTGGGTGCCAGTGTCTTTCAATGCGATACACTCGTCTTGTCTTTCCTTTTGGAATTTTGAGAAGGATTAGCAAATGCAGCAGGCTGCAAACTAGCATGAGAGAGACATGAGGAGAAAAAGATGGGATGGGAGTTTGGATGAAGGAGCTATACTTTTTTTCCCCCCAAGTAGGGAGGAGAGCCTAGAGAGAAAATATGAGGTTAAAAAAAAAACTGGAAAAGCAGGCTTACTTGGCAACTTGCCAAACCCTAAAAACCACCCCCCCTTTCTGCCAAAACAATACTTTAGCAAACCTAAAATAATTGCAGGAAGCTCTTTTCCATTTTAAGAACTATTACCTGGGGGAGGAAAAAAGGGGATTCTTAAAAGGCACCCTTCCAGAGGTGTTCCAGGCACATGGATGGTCATCAGAGCCTGTGTCCAGTTCTGGGCACGCGTTTGCGGACCAGAATCATCTCTCTTCCCGAAGGGGACATCCCTTTAACATTTTTTTTTCCTAAAAAGAAAAAGATGTCACAGCTAAACCACTGTTGTTTCTAAACGTGATAGAACTTTTTCTATGGCGTCTGTGTTCAAACCCACTTAGTTTCACAGTCCTGGGAGGGAGAACGCTCATTAATCTCCGCCTCCCTTTCTCCAGACAACCCCCACCCCCAAATCCGGTGAATCTTCTGTGTGAAAATTTTCTCCACCACCCCCGCTCCTGAATGCCATCGGACTTAAGCGGCGCAAAGTTTGCAGGATTTTGTGCATAATGACGCCTGCCGACGATCTATTCCCACAGAAAGCTCCGTTGGAGAGATTACAAGGCTTTTGAGCCATACCGCATTTCGGAGGAGAGAAAAGTTACCTAGGAGGTCCGATTTAAAAAAAAAAAAAAATTTGCATACATGCAAATGGACCCTCAGGCCGTGTCCCAGGGTCTCCTGGTGCCCACGCCGCGAACCGGGGGGTACCAGACCACCTGGCAAAGTTGCCCAAGTCCTCCCCCGAGGTCCGCGAAGGTCTGCGGCGGGAGTTGGGGGATGGGGATGAGGAAAAGTAGTTTTGTTTGCTTAAGCACATCCTGTGGCAGCCTATAGCTGCCCGGGAGTCCAGACTGTAACTGCTCCTCACCGCGTTACCCAGTAATGCGCTGAGCGGGGACCGGGTGGGGGGCCTGTGGGGGGGCCGTGGGAGGGGAGAGGCA